TGCTCTGAAACAGTACAAAGAAGGTCCAGAGAAAGAAAAAGGCACAGTCTATGTCCCTTATCTAGGATTTAAGACAAAAAAATGCAACTAATTCACAGAGGCTGAAATTGGCTCAGTTTACTCTTCTGCACAGGGGAAATGTCCTTTCCATCATGTCCTCCTTACAACAGAACCCAAGACACCACAAGGAATTGTAAGATGGTCTCCATATGTTCATTATAACTGGGTTTCAAACTCTACATCAATTTGTTCTTTTTAAAGAAAGCTATCCCCTGGTCAACTGTATTGTTTTCACTCAAAAAAGGAAGCACAGGATTATTTTAGGGAATGGGTTTTTCATAAGAGCCAATGGTGGCCCTGGAGGAAATAGAACTCTTTCTTACTTTTTTTCGTCATCAAACCAAGGAATTCCCCTTTTATGTTTATACATAACGCATGAGGTGAGATGGTCACCATTAAATAATTTATTAGGTGCCCAGTTACTGAGCCTCATCCCACCAAGCAGAATCTATCTCTAGTAACTTTTTTCTCACCCCATCTTCTCAAATCTCCACCAATCTTTTTAGACAGGTTTTCTTTCTATGCTGCTGGTAAAACCACACTGTCAAAAATACCCAAAGGCCCCACTAACTTCAAGGCTCCAACCTCATCTGTGTCCCCTGGAAAACCCTTCGTGCAAAATCGACCCCCAAAGCACAGGCTGTGTGTCCACTAGTCTGGTAGGGCCTGGAAAAGCAAAAACAGCTCTGGTCAGAGAGAGCTCAAGGGGGTCCCAGTGTTCCATCTGGTGCTCAGCATGGTGGGCTCGTGTCCACCAGAATTCCCCACGGCTGACCCGGGGTCAGGGTCTTATAGAGGAGGCTGGGTGGGTGCTCCTTTACAGTCACATTTCGGTAGACTCTGGGTGCTCAGAGCAGGAGGGAGCATGGGATCCGGGGCCTATCCCCACCTGGACCATGCTCCACTCTAGAACTTCAAAGACATCCATTAGGCTGGGCCCAGCTCTCGAACAGGTAGCTTGGGGGAGAGGTGGGGCCTTTCCCTGGAGGGCCCAACACTACAATGTGAGACGTAGGTGAAGGAGAGAAGGGGTGACCAAGTCATGGGGTGAAATCATCTCGTGGCCACCTCTCATCTGCTCTACCTGCCTTGGCTGCAGGCCAGATCCTAGAAAAGAGAACTCCAGGGCCAGAAGGGGCTGCGATTGCCAGCCTGGAACGTGGGCCCACAGCAGGGCTGGTGTCCGGTAAACAGAGGGCTCCATTGAACCCCTGACTCCCAGACAGGCCTTCCCTGCTTTGCTTCTTTCCTCCTCAGGTAGCAGCTCTGCCTTGGAGCACTTTCAGAGTGTGAAAGAGATTAGTCATCTTGGCCAGATGGTCATGTATAGCCAAGGCCTCATTTTCTGCATTTCTGCCTTCATGGCAAAGTGGCAAAACCACCAAGGAGGAGGACCTAGAGCGGGTAGGAAAGGGTAATAAATACTGGCTGGAAACCCTGGGTTGATCTCAGGGTTCCTTTGAAGGATCCACAGTCCAGACTTTGGGGTGTGAATCCTGTTGCTCCTACAGCAGTTCAACCAACTAGATACAGACAAGAAGTTAGTCTCTCTCTGTGTATGTCTGTCTCCCTGGAAAAATTAATTTTTCTTTGGCAGATGGTTGAGTCACAAAGACAGAAGGATTCATAAAATTCACATGAACATCCTGTAAACATTTAAACACATAAAGATTAAATAAGGCAACCACGACCTTGATTAAAGTTCAACTTTTTTTTTCCTTTTTTTTAATGTCTACAGCCCTACAACCTGCAATTTGGAGGCTCACCTCCCCACCTCTTCTGACAGGGTCAGCTCTCACTGGGCCTGTGGCGTGTTCAAGCAACTGTCTGATTCATTTGTTTTACAATGGGAAATTAAAGGCATCAGAAGAAAGCAATGATTCGGATCACCTAAACACAAGAACATTACTAGTTCTCTATTAAACCGGACAGACTTTATACAATACAAGGAAAAGTCAAAATAAAAGCCAGGGACGGAAGCACTATGTACCTGCTCTGTCTCAGCCCCTCCTGCTTCCTAAATGTTTCATCCCCACCGGAGACCAGGAGGTTTGGCTATGGTTGAAAATTCTCACCTAATGAGGCAAAATGGCTTACTGAGGCTCACAACAGACTGATAGGACTTGAGTCGTGGACCCCGCGGCTTCAGCTGGAGCTTTGCCCCCAGACTGCCCAGCCCCACATCAAAGTTGCGCACCACCCCCTCCACAATCAGCTTGTGAGATTAGCACTGCCCTCCCACGGCGAAATTTTATGGACCAAATCTGCCCTGCCATCAGGCTCAGCAGCATAATCTTACCAGCAGCTTAAACCCACGCTTCTCTAAGGCCAGAACACCGTGGGACTCTGGTAGGACTCCCGGGAGAGGTGATATGTAGCTTTAAACATCTGGAGGTGGAAGCATACACGTGTCAGCTTCCCTGCACTCTTGTCAGGCTGTTCAATACGCCGAAGCCTGAAGATTTTGCCAGTAGTGTTTGTTACCTAGCATAAATTTGCCCTTTCTTACAATGCTTTTTATTGCTCTTGGCTAAGAATACCGGACAGAGACGGGAGACCTGACTCTCACAGGCAGGCCTGCTGCCTTGCAGGGGAACTTGAACTTGATGTGCACAAAGCTGACAGTTCCTTGAAGGCCTTGTCAACCACCCATCCAGTAAACCCTGCCACTACCCGGAGTAAAAACACAGCAAAAACCACAAGCACATATAGAGACTCTGTGCACCTGTCTCGAAGCAATTATTGACATTATCACTATACAATGAATCGCTTTTTGAAGTTGTTTTCCTGATATTTAGCAGTCTGAATACTAATCCCCTTAACAAAACTGTCCCCATGCTTTTTCCCTCCCCCCTGCCCCCCTAATCTCCTTCTCTCCAGGGAGGGCGGGGGGCTGGGGACCACTCAGTCGACTTTGCCGCACCTGGATTTGCATTGATGCCTCTCTTGTCATTCATGTTACCAACAGGAATTAGCATAAGGCATTAAGGGAAACTCTGGAGGAGAAAAGAAAGGCCATTTTGATGGAAATAAGGGGCAAAGGAATAATCTGCCATCAACTAAAATGCTTAGTTTGTGTATGGTTTCCCAAGCAAAGCTTAGAAAAAGCCTATGTTGATTTTAGTGTACACAAAGAAACCTTAATCCTTTCAAGGCAACTAAATCACCCCCAGAAAAGCAGCTCAGAAGAAAGGCACCCTGTCAGGGGGATGACTATTCACAACCAAATAGATGCCACAAATCACACTCTGTAAGTAAACAAAAATAAGAATGTGGGAAACGTTTGATTGCAAAGGGAAGGGGGGCAGAAGTGAGGGAGTTTGGGCCGTGGGGCGGGACTCTCATCAATCACTCTTCAACCGCCCCGAAGAGAGCCTTTCAGCTGGGCGAGGGCAGCGAGGGCCTGAACGCAGGCCCCAGGGCCAGCTCCCACTCTAGGGCTGATCCCAGAGAGGGGAAAGACATTCCAGAGCTTTTTAGAGCCACCGAGCAGAAGAAAGATGAGCAGCCTGAGGTCCCCGGGGGGGGGGGGGGGGGGGGGGGGGGGGGACAGGTGGTCACTGAAACCCCTAAGACCTTTTGGGGACCTGTCCTGCTTCGTCTCCTCCTCCTCCATCTCCCCCCCTTTTCCCACCCGGATCCACCAGGGTCTACCTCATCCTCTTCTCTCATCAAAATGAGCAATAAGCAATTAGGCATTTTTACAGATGAGCACTGTATGCTATGAACTGCACGCATCTTCACTTATTGGGCTTTTAGCATTATGGATAACAAATTGATACAAACTTTCAGTCCATCAAAAAATACGATGAAATATAAAACTGGAATACTCCATTATGCAATAAAAAAGATAAAAATTCAATGTGACAATAATTCTGGGAGTAACAGCAATCACACAAGCACATACACCTCAAGGGAACTCTAACCATAATGTACTATTTAAAACTGTAGTCGGTTCAAATTCTAAAATAATCCAGGAGCTCAAAATAACTGCACTTGGAAATGTGTCTTACTAACCAGTTAGCAAAAATGCTAGCCAAGGCGAACTATAGGAGGCCGAAGTGGTTTTGAATGTCTCCCCTTTACAAAGGAAGGCCCAACTCTGCTCAAGCGCCACCAAGAGTCTTCCATGTAATAAGAGAACTGAAATTACCACAGAAAGCACACCTTTATTTAGCAATTACCATGCCAGCACCTCAATCAGGTTCTACGGTGAAGAGGAAAAGATCGAACAGTTTATGTAATTTATACCTTTCAAATTATACACCTTTGTATTGCCGGTGATTAGAGACTCCCTTACATTTCATTATTTCCAACAACACTGCTACAAAGGAAAACTGCCCAGAAACCTATCGGCAATGATTTAAGAGAAGTTTTCCCTTCATGTACTGTTGTATTATTAGCTTCTCTTAGTCCGTATTGCAGTTTGGAAGAAATTAATGGCATAGCACATATTTAAATTTTGCCCTCTTGCTCGTTTATTAACTTTCCAGAAAGCCCACAGCAGAGTAAGGCTTGGTTTATGACCATAATACTGTGCATAGTAAACACCCACTGGTTATTAGAGTCTGCAGAACAAATCAGCTATTTATAGCTCTCTGACTTCTGGGTAGTTGATAAGTAACAATAAAGTTAAGGCATTTTGAGAACTATAATTCTCCATTACCGCTGCTTCCTACATTAAATTAAAGTCATAGAGATAGTAGTGATTTCTTAGTCAAATCAATTTAAATAAGGATTCAGTGTATTCTGTTAAAATAAACTGTTCTTTCATACATCACAGAAGCATACAGATTCTGTCTCCAGCAGAAACACAATATATGAACAGTGGCTCCAGAATGAAAAAAAGAAAGGCCATTTGTTTTTTACTCTGACTTCCTAGGCAATGACAATGAGACAAAAATCAAAACCAGCCATTGCTCAGAATTCAGGTGTCTTACCTTTGTTTACAATAACAGTATTGAAGAGTTTTTCAGAGCTGGCATCTGATGCCTGAAAAACAGGAAAGGGAAAAAAATGTTATTATGGTCATTGATTTGTCATCAGCATCATCATTACTATGACTATAAATCATTTCACTACATTTTTAGAAAAGCTTGACAGGGAAAGCAGCAATTTCCCCCAATCGTCCACAAGGTGGTGCTCTTTGACTGCATGAGATAGACCTACAGCGCAGCTATGTGCTGGGGGGAAAATCTGATTTTAAAAAACGTGTCCTTATTAGACATATTATCTGTGCAAAACATATTTCTATGAGATGATACACAAAGCAATCCAGCTCATTCACATAATGATTTTGCAATTTCGTTGACAGATCATTATTTTGGAAATGGTACTTTTTTCCCCTTGATGTGCAGACATGCCTATTTTTAAATTTTCTTTCACAAACCAGAAATGCCTATTATTTAATGCTAAGCCTTTCCTCACTAAAAAGTGCTGACTAGCACTTGCAGAAATTAATTTAAAAATTCATCCTATGACCCCCAAGATCCCTGTTCCTTCTAGTAACCAGGATGACCTTGGTGTTGAAACAGAAGCCAGCTGACCTGGCCCACAACCCAACACTATGCCTGCCATCAGCATTATATCCTTTCCATTTTCCAGAAATCCTGTCTGCTAATTATTACAGTGGCTTGAGGAAAGTGAAATAAGCCTGTTTAAACAGCAAGAGTAAAGCCAATGTAAATTATACACTCATTGTGCTGGAAAATAAACACAAAGTTGGTTTGGAGGGAAGGTGGCAATGTTGCAGAAGCACGGACTATTTCTAGAACTTCTAGAAAATTTAAACAATTGAACTGAAAATCGGCATCCCCACCATATAATTTGAAGATGGATCTGCATTTAAAGTTATAATGGCAATGTTTGTTTCTGCTATTTTTGCTATGCAACCCTTGTAAATCACTTGTCTTTCACACTTTATACACAGAGACCCATGTTTTGACAAAGCAAAGCATAGAATGTTGAATAAATATAGAGGGAACTATAAAAGAAATAGGGGGAGGGCTTATCTGAATTATAGCATATTCTGACTCTGGGGCTGGCTTTTGGGGACAAAGAAGATACTCAATTTAGCCTTTCTGTGCTATATTGATGAAAAAGAGATATTTTTGTGTATATCTGGCGAATATGTTCTAGTTCTCGATGCAAATGATACAGAGAGACATAAAATATTTTTATTATGAGGATTTTTTCCCTTTCTTTTCCTTCTAAGCTTCCTCCTGTAGGGGTGTTTCGGAAAATTAATGGATCAAGGGAAAAGAGGAATGGATGAGTAAAACAAGTGTGGGACTGCACATACATTTACGCATAAACAGTTTAAAATAAATCCTAGATAGCTTTTTAAAAATTTTTGCAGGAATAAAAAATATGCCAGAGGCCTTCCTGACATCTTAAAGATAATTATATTAAATTGTATATGATAATAGCTTTTTGTAAAAATAAGCCGCCAAAAAAAGTGTGGCATGGGGAAGGAAACAAGGTATCCATTAAACAAATTAAAAAGATTGTTATAAAGGCAAAAATGACAGGAATAGTGTCGTTACATTGTGATACCAAGTGAGGTTTCTAGGAATGGGAGTTTCTCCTGCTAAAAACGGAAGAGAGAAAAGTATTTCACCATTCTTGAGTGGAAAAAAGCATCTCTTAGTTCAAACCGGAAGGGCTCTGCTAAATTCATGGCTGAAAAAAGATTCCAGCTGATATATTTAAAAGAAAAAAAAAAGCCCATGAATGAAATCATTTTAAAACTGAAATAATCCTTGCAGATATGGGGATTGCTTATTAAGAGGAGTCTAATGGGCCCAAAGAAACAGGAAAACAAACGACTGTACCCCAAATGCAGAAAACACGGGTAAGGAAAGGAAATGGCTCCCGACTGAGTTTTTATTTGCACTTGGGCTGTGTGTGTGTGTGCGCGTGTGTGTGTGTCTGTGTGACAGAGAGTGAGAGAGAGATCAAATAGGACAGAGCTGCAGGTGAACAGGCCCTTTGGTTTTCTGAAACACCTCCTTGGGGCTACCGCCTTTGTCGGCTCCACTGGGCTCCACAGCACAACCTATTCTCAAGGAGGCGGCTAAGTGATCCTACTATCTGAAGTGAACTTAGAGGATGTGATTATTATGATGCCAACCAGTAAGTTATTAAGGAAGTAAGTCTGACAGGATATTCGGAGAGGCTTAGGAGCTTGCCTTCTAATAAAAGCTTTCTGAGCCCTTTAATTTTCTGAAACATGCCACAAAGCCTGAAAGGCTGCCTCTTACAACTGGGGGAGGAAGGGGCCCTCTCAATAAGGCCTCCGCAGAAAAACACCCCAAAGAAAACGACTGCAGTGGGACGCTGGCTCATCGTAAAAGGATTCTGGATCCCTTCTTTCTCCCACCCAGGTGGTTGAAACTATGGCGGACCACTGTCCTGAAAAGTCAGAAAAGAGCTTCTTGGCGAAAGTCTAAAGTGGAAACTACAAGAAAATTCTTTACATTTCCTCCATGAACTTTCCAAATTCTTCTTCTCCCTTTAAGCATTTGTGCAAATTATTTAGCTCCTTGGGTCTTAATCTTCAGGACGTTTTCTTTTTCAGGGCTTTTAGGGGAAAAGTCTGCAATTCCTTGCATTCCCTGGGCCATTTTTCTGGCCTTTTTTTTTTTTTTTTTTTTCTTTTTTTTTTTTTTTTCACCAAGAACGTCTAATGGAAACATGGTGAGCGGAGAGTTAGCAGACTAGTGGAGCTTTCCCGTCTGTCCCCCCCCCTTTTTTTAAACACGGGGGTACCTTTACACGCTAAGGACTTCTAGATTTTACCCTCATTTCGTTTCCTCCCCCTGGCTCGGTTTTGGAGGGTGAGGGCGGGAAGTGGCTGCAACTAAAAATGACAGAAAAACAAAGCTCTCTCTTGGCTTTTTATTGGGGGGGGGTAGATTTTTTTTTTAATACTAAAAAATTATTAGAGGCCGTAGTTGGTGTTTAGAGAAAAGTTAATAAGTCAAACAGATTGGAGGAAAGAGCGCGTAGAATGAGACAACGAATAAAAGCCTTCCGTGCAGACGGGGGTGGGACGCGGCCGCTCGGGTTCGGGGGCCACCCTCATTCCCTTCGGCCGCAGATCCCGGGGAGCCCTCCGCACCCGCACCTCGGGAAGAGGGCACTTCCCAACAAGAAACGAAAAGCCTCCTCGAAACTTAAGCGCGAGTTCTTTCAGCAGCTGCCGCCGAGCCCGAGCCCAGACCTCCTCTGGCTTCCCTGGGCACCGCGTGCCGGCCGGGATCCCGACCTCCGAGCGGCAGCGCCACGCCGCTCCACGGTCTCCGGGCCGAGCAGGCGGTGGGCCCCGGCCCCGGGTCAGCGGAGCCCCTCGGGACGGGAGGCGCCGGGCCGGCGGAGGGCTCCCCCCCCTCCCCGGCCCTCCTGGGCACGACAGCGTCGCCGCTCTCCGGCCGAGGTCGGCCGGCCCACGGAGGAAACTACAAAGGCGGGTGACCGGGCCGCGGAGGGGGGGGGGAGGGAGGGCGGAGGGAGGAGGGGTGACGAAGGGGGGCCCGGGCGCGCCAGACGCGAGGCGCCCGCCCCTGCCACCCCTGCCTGCGGGCCCGGCCGCCGCAACAAAGACCCCCGACCCGGCCGCCTCCCTTCCGAGCGGGGGCGGCGAGCGAGGGAGCCGCGCCCCCCGGGGCTGCATTACCTGGTTGCAAAGGGTTAAGCGGTCCTGTCAGCCCCAAGTTCATGGTTTGGTTCCTTAGCAGGACTCACGATGGGGGATCGGCAGAGACCAGGGTAAAAACCAGCCAAACACACGAAGAGAAAACGCCCAACTCCGACCGGGCTGCGTCCGCAAGTCTCTCCTCGGTTCCTCGCGAAAGTCTGAAAGCGGATGCACGGGACCCAAATCCGTACGAGAGCAGCAGCCGACGGCGGCCGAGCGCCAGCGCCGCGCACACATCCAGCGCGGCCGAGGCCGGGCGCGGGCGGCGGGCGGCTGGGGGAGCGCCCCGTCCGCGCCCGCCCGTTGCCTCCGGGCCGCTCCTGCGGCGCGCGGGTCGGCCGGGCACGGCGGGGACCCGAGCAGCGTTCCCGGGCGGGCCGGCGGCCGGGTGAGGCGGAGAGGAGCGGCCCGAGCCGCGGCCGCGGCGCGCGGAGCGCGGAGCTAAGAGCGAGGCGGCGGCGGCGGCGACAGGACAAAGGAGACCATGTGCGGAGGGAGGGAGGAGGGAGAGGGAGGAGGAGGAGGAGGAGGAGGAGGGCGCGCGGCGGCGGCGGCGGCGGCGGCGGTTTCTCCCCGGCGGCCGCCTCGGGCTCCCGGACTGCCGGTCCCGCCTCTCCAGCAGCGCCGCGGCCCGACTGGTCCTGGTCCCGCCGCCGCCGCCGAGGCGCTGGAGGCCGACGCTCCGGGAGTCTTTATTCGGGGCCGATCTCTCCGGGCGCGGCGCCGGAGGGCTGCAGCGGCCGGGGCGCCGGGCGGGCTGCGCGGGGCCGACGGCGCCTCCTGGCCGGAGCTCGCGGGCGGAGGGCGGGCGGCGGGGAGCGCCCGGGGCTGGCTGGGCTCCCGCCCGCGCTCCGCTCGCGGGCGCCTGCCTCTCCCGCCGGCTCCCAGCTCAAGTGAACTCCATCGGCGGCCGCCGCCGGCGCCGCGGGCTCCCAGGCTGGACGGGTGGCAGGAGGGGGCGGCGGCGGCGGCACGGGGGCCCCTCGCTCCGGACTTCGCTCCCCGACTGCGCCGAGCGCGCCTCCTCCAGACGCTCGCAGCTCTCGGAGCGGGACTTCCTCGGCGCGCCGAGCCCGAGCCGCCGGTGCCACCGCCCCTCCTCCGTCCCGCCCCACGCGCCCCGCCCCTCACCGCCCCTCCTCTCGGCCCCGGCGCCGGGTCGGCCCCGCGGGGGCGCAATCCCCGGGCGCGACATCGACAGCTGTCGCTCCCCCCCCCCACCCGCGCCTCAGGCCCTGGGTCCCCACGGCTGCCTGCCCCGCGGGCGGGCGCCGCAGGAACTGCAACGCTCCTC